TCGTAAACAGTGGCGTTCGTGCATCTCCTCAATTTCTTCCCAACCTTAGTCCACTGAACTCCATTTTCTGTTCGAATCCACTTTCAACGTTCCTTTCTCCTCCTATTCTTCATCCCAATGGGCAGCCAAAACCGGCGCGCGAAAGTGCATGGTTAATGGTTGTTCAAACTGAAACTGAGACGCCTACGACCATCGTCGCTCGAACCCGGATTGGATCTCATCTCCGACTGTTGGCAATGAACATCTACTGTGATAGACATGAGGCCAGCTCATCTCAGCTTCAGTTGACTATGCACTTTCAAGTGCGAGGGGGGGGTGTGTTTGTGTTAGAGCGATACACCGTGAATGACAAATTGCCTTGAGTGGGCGTTGCATTAAAGACGCCGATTTCCTGCACATGAGCTCAAGGTTGACTGTGGATACAAGTGGTCAGCCATGCTTTAAGTGCATTTTATTGACACGGCAGAACGGCTAAACCCCATAATCAGAATTGACTGATCGTTCATCAGAGCCACCAAACTTAGCCTCAGGACTCGGAGTGGAAAAATGCATAGCCCCAAAAAGTGAACCGGCCGGCAGCAAGTGAGAAAAAAAACAATCGTCGAGTGCTCGATACCCACAAAAAAACGAAAAGAGCCTCGAAAATTAGGGGTTTGTCTACCCCAATAATTAAAGGAAAACTCCACCAAATATTAAGAACCACGGCCGTTTCGTCTTGTATGCGCTAACGAACTATTGGTATCTTGATTGCCGCAGATACCCTATCTACCATTACTGCAGCCCATCTCGGCAAGTGAACAAACACACTACCACGGGAACAATGAGATTCTTATCATGACTCTGAAACTAGCTACGTTATGCAGAAAACGAAATGAAACTCACCACAACCTCCTGCGTTTTTCCATGGATGAAAAATTCCTTCAGCAAAGACTCAAACGCACGCTCGAATTCTTGGTCGGACGGTGCAGGGCTTAGTGTTTCTAATGTCACCGGGTCCTGTCATTTATAAATCAGTAACTGAGGAAAAACCTACGTTAGCGTCTGAGTCGTAATCGGGATCTTTGTGATCTAATTCTATCTCGTCGAGAACGTCGGTCGGATCTTGGCGCTTACCGCCTCCTGCAGGCATAGATAAGCGAATAATGGAAACGTACGTTTGCTAGGTATTCTTCTTCCGTCTCTTGACTTTCGGCTATTCTTTCCATACGGCACACGATTTGAACTAACGTGTGCCCGTCTGAGAGCGGTCGTCAAAGCTTGAACGTCGGAGGGGATGCCGTCTATGGTTAGACCATTCACGCCTGAGTGGCTATAGGACGCCGAATGCACTCGCTTCTTTCTATGAGGATGTTTTAACAGGGCAGCAATTCGGAGTTTATCGAAATCTGGGCGCTGCCATGTCATCTCCCCAGCAGAATCCTCCTCGACCTCTTTTGGCACATCACTTTTCTCCTCAACCATATTGCAAGATGATAAGCTGGGTAGATTCAACTAGTGCGCAATACCAGCAACTTTCAAAATCACTATGAATGCAGCCAACAAGCTATGACGAGACACCGGCGCCGAGCGGACAAAGATCACAACGCGAATGGACGACCTTCAGATAGGATCAGATGACTTGTTGAATCGACACTGGTGCATTAAAACAGCATATTTTGGTCTGCACCCACCAGTCATTAGAATTTTGTTGGTCATCAATCAACTTACTAAGTCCTAGCCGTTTTCAGTAACTTTTGCTTGAGAAGGTGAAATCGGTACCTGTTTATCAAATTGGAAATCGTGATGGAGTATTCGGGTTCGATGCTTGCGCCCGATATTCCCGGACCTGCTTTTGTCTTCTTTGCTACAGTTCGGTGCACGAGCTGAAAGGGATGTTATTGAAAAGGGGACTTGACTCCAATAGGGTGCCGCTGGGTTAAGGGTGCATTCAACGGGAAATATTTAGAGGAGGAAAGGTCAGGTCAGGTCGGTTCACAGGACGTAGCGGCGGCGTGCCAATTTAACCAGATTCTTGCATTGATGGGCTCCGTGGCTCCCCTTGAGCTTCGACAAAAGGAAGAGAAAAACTCTTCTTGAAGAAAGGGAGGCTGAGAGAAGGAGGTAACAGGACAAGCAAGTGGAAGTTTGTTCCATTTTGAGATGACCCTGCACGTAGAGAAGTTGGAGCGAATGAAGGTTCTGGGCCGGTGTTTGAATAAATTTCTTGGGTGTCCCCGTAAATGTTCTAATTTAAAGCGTGTTAAGAAACGCTAAACTTGACCTGATGAGAAGAGGTTATATAGAGAAAAAGATCCCCTCTGATCCGTGGTATATCTAGGGGATATAGATTCAGCTGTTGTTGTCAGATAGGATAAGGGATTTCTGGCTAGCCATGTATTAGTTTCGTGATACTTCGCTGCACAAGTTCGAGAGAGTCGCGGTCGCGAATGAGGCCAGAATGCACAACTTGGCTGCTATATTGAAAAAGCGGGCGTATTTATATTCCACAGAGGAAAAAAGTAATCTTTTGTTAAACGCGGGAAGGACTGTTTGATAAGATACGAAAAGCGGTTTTACTGGCTTTTTAGTTGTGGGAAGAAAAAGAGAGATTGCTATTCAGCCAGAAACCAAGAATGTTGTTCTGATCAGCCAGTTGGATTCGGGTTCAGTCGTTTACCCAGAATGGTTCACCAGGAGCGTTACTATAGTAATCAGAATAGTATTGAATTTAAGAATACGGGAATCTGTACTATACTGCCATAACTGAATTGGCTCAAACCCGAACTGCGGACACCAATGAAATACACGAGGAATTGATAGCAGCAAATGCTTATGTTTAGTGATAGAATTAGAGCATGTTTTATAGAATGTAATAGCTTGTAGTGACCATGATTGTACGAAGAAAAAGAGTAATCCACGAGGACGTTTTCCGTTCATATTTTATTCACAATCAACTCTGACTCAAAATGTGATATTTTCTTTGTTTTACTTCTGTTTGTTTTACTGAGCACGGTTTTCCGCTCAGGCGTATATATAAGCTGGGTCCTGTTCAAGCACACGCTACACGTGTGACACGCTATCGCTCTGCTATTGCATTTATTGCTTGCTTTGTTTAGCGTCACCTTGGCACGTTTCGGTACTATCTAGTACCACGATTCGCCAATAAACGTCTACGACTCCCACGAGTGTTTTTGTCTACTTCGGGCAACGAGACACTAGGAGGTCGCGCGCATACTGAGACCCGTAAGAAGACATACTGGAAGGCCGTCAACTCAGGTTAGCTTCAAGCTCATATGATTGGTTGAAGGGATGTCGTCCAATTACGTAACCGTTTGCGCTGACGCATCATATGTACTAACTCGGAGGTCACGTTCGCCCAGTGTACCATTGGTCGAGCTTCCTGAACGGCGACTGGATGATATAAAACTGTACCTCGTCGTGCATGGATTGCGGTCACGGAAGTCTGGATCTCCACAGTTACCCAGGAACATGCCCGCACATTTTGCGTCATTGATTGGCAAGCTCCAGTTAACTGACCAATTTTTGGTTTGGTCAATCGCCGACTGCACTTTGGATGCGTCTCTCCCCCAGATAGCTACGTTATCCGAGTACATGGCAATCTCTACAGGGAAACGTTTGGGGAGAACATTAATATAAATCAGAAATAGGATAGGACCTAGTACTGAGTCATGTGGGACTCCTATTGAAACTGGAGAGAGTGAGGAAACGGATGTGCCTATTCAAACCGCGAAGGAGCGGTTCAACAGAAAACTAGTAAGCAGGGAAAGCAATCGGCCAGTGGTGCCAAAACTCTCTAGATTGTACAGGAGAGGAATGTGTAGCACTCTGTCGAAGGCTTTTGCAAAGTCTATGAAGATCGCATGTGAAATATAACCTAACATAGGCACGGGTGTATTTCATACTGAATTTTTTGAAAATCCTTCCGAA